ACACTGGTGTCTTCAACGTGATCTTCACCGTCTGATTGTCGTCGTGCACAGCTTGACGTAAGATAACGCAGAGACTGTTATCGGATTTCACACCTCCGGCATTCTTGAATTTCACCAAGGACGTGTTAAGATGACTAATGAGAGTAGCGTACGGCTCGTTCCGTTCCTGCGAGATGCGATTCAGTTTTGCTTCCAAGTTTTAGAGATCATCTTCAGTCAGAGCTTCAAACGTTTGTTGCAGTGCAGCAAATGCATCCCAAGGGGACTCGATGAATTGGCTGATTTCCGTTTGCAGTAACGGAGACAGAGTACGGTTGATGATCCGATATGCTTCAGCAACTTGCTTACAAGTCCAACGGCTGCCTCGAGAAGCTGTCGGGTTGGTCAGGATATCAGAGATTCCTTCGCAGTTCACAGATAGGATGGTTTGAGTTTTCCAGGGAAGCCAGTCGACCTTCGACTCGAGAATGGTGGTGGTTTTGATATCCTTAGAGTTGACAGTAGGCATTTTGGTAGCGTAAGAGCAGAATGACCTGATAAATTGCTAGAGTGTAAGATGGTAGTCTTTGAATAAAGCGTAATTGTGTATCTTTATTTACAACCTCACCTTTGGTTTCATACTCAAGGTGTTTGTACTAGTGTTCAACCACTTGGGCTGGCCAGGGTAAAAACTCATATGATCAGTATGAGAAACCTTATGCAGAACACTTTAGCACTCGGATATATTTTCTAGAAATAAATCTATCATATTCTCTGTTACTACACTCAGTCTCGGACCTCGGCTCTCGGCTAGCCGGTGGCCCGTATTCTATAAATAGAATAATCTGAGAAGAAGTCTCAAATTTCTCCTACGTTCTCTCGGGCTGACCCACCTATACTTATATTGATTTGAGAATAAGTCCTAAATTACTCTCGGGCTGACGACTTAAAACGGTATTAACGTATATAGAAATACGTCTACTACTGTAGTCTCTCACATAGTACACACATGGATAGCTTGTCAGGTGACATCTCCTGAGTCAGGGCCCGTGACATGTGTGTGTCCAACTCTAATAAGTAGTGGGACACCGGCGTTCCTTCTTCCGGTGGTATCATGATCGATACAAGCAATCCCGGTCGAGGGTCCGTCGAAAATAAGTGGACGATCATCTCACTCTGCTCTTTCCACGTTTTTAGCTTAGTGATCGGTTGTTTCGCCTTCTCTAACTTGTTATACTTGTAAGAGGACGGTTTTGTAATAGCCGGGCCTCCACATTAGACTCTATTTTATAAACGTACTCTTAAGCAGTACGTAAACTATAAACATACTCTTAATAGTACAAGGAACTTAAGTTTCCTAAATGGGTTTTAACGGTTTTATCAATTAATACCTTTTCCATTTTACATATCAGATATTTGGACAAGGCCATTAAATGGCCCCAGTAAAATACCAAACATAAGATTTGGTCTAGTTCTATTAATATAACTATATTTACTTTCCAAATCTATATATATCTGAATACTTCGGTAGCGAGATGGCTCAACTGAACATAGGTTTCTAGGGACTATTAACGTTACCTAGTTTAACCTCCGTTCAGCCAACCAGATGTGACAGTCTGATGAAGGCTAAGTCGGTAATTCTTGATAAGTGGCAAGTTGTTGGTTAATGCAATAACTAAGGACATCAAGAGTATCTTTCTTTTTTTCTATTCTTTTTCTTCTTCTAAAGATAGGATTTTATGAGTCTCTCGGATTCGCCCCAATGAGACATACCATAGTTTCTAATAGAGCGACAGCGAAACACTAAATAAAATACCTTCGGCGAAAACAGTACTGAGAGGATTATATATAGGCAATGTCTCAGCCTCACAATCTCTCAGAGTATTGCTGTTTTCACGAGGCATACCTAACTTTACTAAAAGACTCATTTCGTTTATTTACTTTGATTTTCACGATACTTAGACTTTACCTACGCGTTTAATTACTCTAAGGCGTTAATATCGCCTTGATAGACCGAATCTTACAATGTGGCACAATATTCGTCAATCTCTGACGAGTATCATATGTAATCGACTGTGATCATCGTACAGATGTATACGGACATTCTGCAGGGATTGCTCGGTAATGCTGCGTTGTGTGTCCATGTCTGGATGTGTAATGATTATATGAAACCTGCGATGTATTGATAATATGATAATTGGGGGTATGTGCGCGTTTGGATCGGGATAGAAACATCTATTGTGTTTCACCAGATCAGGTGCTGGTACACGATCCTGTGGATGAGTGAAATTGTCTTGATGTTGGTATACATGTGTACACGGTCGCCTATTCTCAGATGAATACATATATTGTTGCACAACAGGCCTAGTATGTCGTGTGTGCGTTGCCTCAGCTCGTGTACTAGATGTCGAGGTTGTTGATGTTGTCGCCCGTTGACTGTTTAAGTTAGCTTCAGACGGCCGGCGGCGGCCGCCTCGTCTTCTATCATGACACGCTTGAGCTCTTCCATTACCTGCGGATTCGCCGTTGGTGTGTCCCCTGAGGGGGCTAATGGTGTCAGAAAAGGGTAATTCTGTTCGCCGACTGTTGGTAAATGCGCTTGTTCTGGCTGAGCATCCATATATTCCTGAGCTTTCTGTTGAGCCAGATTTACTGCTGCAGTAGCATTCTCGGCAGTTTCTTCACTCCTCAAAGCAGTATGCAGGTGCTCTATATCATCACGATTTTCTGCTTGCGTCTGGAATCGCTGTGCCCATTCAGCCGTATTGAAGTGTATAGGCAACTTTAAAAATATGTTATACCCATCTACATAATCGATCCGTTGTTTACACATCTCGTGAGCTTGCGCTGCTTTGCCAATGACCTGCGATTTTATCTCGCGTGCTAGTTTCTCATGAAACTTCCACTCATCATTAGTTCGCAATGGTCGACATAAACAGGGCAACCCCTGACTTTCAGCTGTATAATTGTGATCATGAATTGGTGTGTGTGGGTTTTCTTCTATATTGCTTGCGACTTTCTCAAGATCCTGCTCATCAAATAAGTGACGCATATATGCAACACCGCTATGCACATGATTTTTGTCAGGCACAATACAGTCGTCGGGCCTGGGATATAGTTGTTCAGTGCTCCTCCTATCAAATACACCCTCGTAGGGATATACTCTAAAAGGCTCACGGTTAGATCTGTGAATAGCATAGCGCTCTTGTCGACGGTTTCTAAATCAAAATGACCAACGTCTGGGGCTTCATTTCGTTCAATATCGTGCGTATATTTTTTCTTCATACGAAAGTACGAAAGTACATCATCGGCTAAAGCTGTACTTGTGATGCGATATCCAAACTTTCTAGAGACTGTTTGATGTACAGTCGATTCTACACAATTCGTACCGCGAGCGCACTTCCATAAATGCAGTCCATCTGTGTCTGTTGCGTAACAGTAATATAAATCAACTCCAGGAGGATCTGATACGTACACATTTAGTATTGTATCAAGTATAGTTTTAAATTCTTTGTAGGCCGCAACGTTGAAAAGAGGTTCTTTACTTCGACTACCTAACTTGTCCTTAAATTCATTGTAGACTTCTAGCATTCGATCGTGCAGTAATTGTGGGGCCGGAATGTGTCGACGTACACGCTTGCGTATGTAGCGTTTGCCTCTGGCAGTCTGCAATCTCTCGTCATATGTGATATCTTGCTTTTAAAGCACTGCAATGACCGCATCACGATCAGTTGCGTTGTCAACGAAGATCAAATCACGAAACAGCTGCCAACATTTCCAGTGCCACCCGTGGTTCTTTGAGATTGGAACCAAAGCCATGAGATAAAACACATCTTTAAGCACATGCCGCCATAATTTCACTACCTCCGGTTTATTACTTGGCTGAAATTCAGGGATAAGTGTCTCGAAAGTCTCGTAGAAGCTATTGTCTGACCTGGGATCAGCTTCCTGCCCATCTTCCTGATCATCTTCATGTTCAATGCCGTTTTCACTCTCTGAAGAACTACATTATGAAGAGTCTGTAATGAGATCGTCGCGATCGCGAAGGGAAGTACCCTCGTTCTCTATCATGTCCTAGCATAGTGCTGTACTTCGAGATATTACAACCATAGTATTGAATACTGGTACTACAACTTTATTATATTAATCACAAGAAAATATTGAATATTGTTGTTTATTTTTTTATCCTGGCATATTCAAAAATCAAACAATACACATCTTGTAGAAATAGTACATCGTGTACACAACCTAGTCTATGTTGCACGAACTCGAGAACTAAAAGCTTAGATTCTGAGGGGTTGAGCATACATATAATAATTTTCGTACAAATCCTTTTGTTTTTGTTAAAAAAAACAAAACAATAAACAGAATAAGTGCTCTTGTACCTCATTGGTGCATCGGAATTGGGCGGCAACATTCTTGCTGTTGAAAGATGATGTGGCTCTGTAGTACAAAAAAATCAAAAAAATGTAAAAACATGATGGATATCATCATGAATTCACACGACGGCCTTGGTACTACTAAAATAATATATGTATATTTGTTATTTATATATATATATATATATTTATACTTATATATATAGATGATCGATCATGGACAATGTACGTATGTATGTATGCAGCTATATAGATATGTGGGCGCTATGTACGTTGCGGCTTGCGTGGTGACTGGTGAATGGCAACATGCATGAGAAGGGAGAACTTAAGAAGTAAGTAGAGTTTGATAATTACACAGCCTTCTATGAAGGCACACAAGGCTTTGATTGATAGTTACTTGATTCAGATGGTACAGAGTAGGAATAAAACCTCATTGGTATATCGCGGATGCTATGCGGTGTGTACATGTAGTATTCATTGGCAAGGCACTATACGATAGATAGAGTTTGGGCCGGCCGAATATAGTGAAGGATACTCCAATATATGCACACCCACAGAACAAATGCAATTGCAGTTCGAGTGCTTGAACTACGTGGGCTATATAACCTAACAACAAGTACCAGAAATCATCCTGGGCTGTCTATCGTTGGACCGAAACACTCCTGAAGAGAATTTACTGCCTGGAATCCAGTCATTTAGATGATTAGCGAACGCTTCATGACTCATCCATTAGTGGAAGTGAAAATATCTACTTCGACGGTCGCTATTATCACCTGTACATGAAATCAGCATTGAGTTCAGCTCTACATACTCACTCCAAATGCACTCAAAACACACACAACCAGACAGGTAGTATACTACAACACTCGCCTCCCGTTCGGCAATAGCGTATTTTGAAAGCTTCGTGGCCTATAAACCAAGCTGCGTTGATTGCGCCATGTCGGACCACAACGATGGAGGCAAGAAGCAGAGCAGACACTCAGATGCCAGTTCGGTGAGTGACCAGGTCTGAGGGAGTGTAGCAAAAATTGTTGTGTATTGAGAGATTGCCATGCCAATGATGAACGCTCATGTGATCTCATACATATGAATGCTATAAAGGGTTTGCATGTATACGTACGACAGTAGTGGAACTCATATTAAACGTATTCAAAGTAATTTTCATTAAACGTATGAAATGGAACAATAATCCTTTTGCACGAGTGAAGCATGAAACATGTGCGTATGAACATACATGTGTGCACAGTAATATACGAGGAACGTTGTGTAACATCGTATAACCAGGTCATAAATCTGCTTGTGCCGTTGGCCTATCTAATACCAGCACATCACAACGTATAGTCCTGGGTTGTCTTTGTAAAGACTCTTAATGTTCCTTACAGAACTGTGTATTTGATGCGAACACAAAACACAAACTGTCATTTGTTAATCTTTCTACGCACGTCGCAATCCGCAATTGAGTCTATGATTTCAATTCACATACTATCATCCGTGTATGGGCTGTATGTGCCTAAAATGTAGGTGTATCCGTAGTCAAACTTGTGCTCTGCTAATCGAAAATCGGAAAATATACATGAGAAGTTTCTACACACACACACATACACAAACACACACACACACACACACAAAAGCACAAACATACAAAAATACAAACTACACGCACACAATACACACACACAA